AAAAAAAAAAAAAAAAAGTTTCATTTTGACTGTGTTAGTGTTTTTATTTCATTTAAATATTTATTTTGTAATAAAATTGTTATGGTTGTCAGATTGTCTTGTGTGATTATTTTATGAAATATGGACTACATAAAAAATAGATTTAAAAATTTAATGTAATGGATCGCAGACAGCAGACTATTATATGATATTATGTTCAACAGATTGGAACGATAAAGCTACATGACAAACTATCGATATCTGTATAAATAAATAAAACAGTAGAATTAAATATGATGCTGTGAAATCTAAACAGCGAGCCTGTATGACTCAAACCCACCGCAAAAATAAGCGCTCCTCTTTCGTCATCGCGGCAAAAAAAAGTGGATTTTTCCCGTTTCCGTGGCAACCACTAGCCATATAAGGGCATTTGATCCCTCAGTAGTGTTCTACCGGGAGTTTCCAACACACGACGGAGCCTAATACATGTTCCATCTACTAAATCACTTGCTTGACACCACTTGGAACACAACCTTAACGCTGGATTTATGACTCCTCCTTAGGAAAATATTACTTGTGTGTACTTATCAACTGGGCTGCTACTGAGAATAAAGTCAATATGCACTTGTTATGACACATTATGACTCTGTATGTGCTCAGTTTTTCCACAAATAATCATCCACAGTTTACCCGAGGATAAATCATTGAAAGCTCTGGATTTTGTATTTTATTTTGTATTTTATTTTATTTTTAAAAGCCCTCTGGGTCAAAGCAGACACGTCATCGCGGTCGCCTGTAAGACAACACTGAGGGCTCATGTTTAAACCAGCTAGTAGGCAATAGGCGTAGCTAACGTTAGCTTCACCCGAACCGAGTAGCTGTGACCACAGGGACAGGATCAACGATTGCGCCGCTGTAAACGTGTTTTCAAGCGAACGACGTATTGGTAAGTTCTGCAAAAAGAACAATATTAGGTAAACAGTTAGTTTATAGTCTTCTGAATTGGGTGCCAAAGGTGAAGCTACGGAAGCTAGCCTCACCGAGCTAACGGAGCTAACGGTGCAACAGCAGGTAGGAAACAGGGAAACGTCGTAGATACACACACAGCAGCTAATGTTTCAGTCTGGTTATAGCAGCTGCGTAGCTAGTTAGTCCAGTTAAAGTTAACTGCTGCGTGTCGTTAGCTGTTGTTAGCAGTTAGCTAACGCTGACAAAGTTGCGTATGTAAGCAACAATCCAAGCCCAGGACAAGTCATAAACGTTGGACGGTTCAGACTCCCAGCTTTATGGCGTTAATCATTGGCACTGATTTCCTTTTTTTTCTTCGGTGTCATACTTGGAGTGAAAACAGTGGAAAGCATCTTTTACGGTACCTGTGTGTTCACGGTGGCTGTGGGAGGCTGGCGGGCCCTGAAACGTCATGTGAGGAATGAGGAGTCTGGCCAGTTTTTAACTACTTTAATGTCCTGCTAAAAACATACAAAAAAAAACTACATAATACCATCTGTAGGCTTTGGTATGAGCTTGTGTTTATACAGGAGGTGGACAAAATAAAATGCATTTCAGTATAATGACGTTTAGTAACACCTTAGCATAAAGTACAGGCCTAAAATGTAGTGCCATTTAGTAAGTACAGTCATATTTTTACAATTGAATTTTTAAAAAAAGAGGCGATTTAAAGTGTTTTGTTTTGTTGTTGTTGTTTTTTTATAATAGAGCTATTTTGCTGCCTTTCAATACATTTGAATTTTCCTCTCTGTGATGTAAATCAGCCTAATTAAGGAAATGGCACTGACCCACTGGCCCATCAGTGCTGAGTTACTGGTTGATAATTTATGTAAGTGCAGATTAAATAGCAACGCAGTCCTTTAAATGTCCTCCACGACCAAATGAGGTGAACTGTTGCTGACTGCTATCAAGACACCACGAAGGAAAATGGAAAGAAATTAAATACTGCTGTATAAATAATGGACAAGCAGCTTTCCAGTTAGAAACTATTTGCTTTCTCTGTCTGTATTGGATGCTAACCAGCCTGTAGTTCATGTTTTGCCCTCACACAGCTGTAATCAAGTTAGTCTAGACTAATTCAAACAAATTGTGTTGTTGATCTTGTAATTTAACTGTCCACTCTCTGTTTTTCCAGAAGACACCAGCATGAATAGTTTCAGTAGACCAGACAGACACAGGACCCCGCCGTTCACCAGGGCGCCACACCTGGGAGCATCCAAGCATGACCTGGAAAGAGATTCAGGCTTCTCAGGTTTGATCCGACTACATTACTCAATGTGTTGAATTTGTCCAGTTTGATATTATATTATTGTAATTACTGTTATTAGTTTGTGAGTTTGCCGAGTGTGTGCTGCTGGTGTGGCTCGTGCTTGACCTGAATGTGCAAACTTTTACACGATTTTAAATAATTGATATTTCATAAACAAGGTCAACCCTAATCAAATGTGGAGATCTAGGTCACATTTTCTATGTAGGCTATGCTGTGTTAGAGATGCTCTTTATTTACACTATGAAGGCTAATCTGGATCTGGTTTACCCCATCTCATTAGGTTGATGGTATCCTTTTTTGAGACACTCTTCAGATTCTTATCTACATCTGCCACTGTTTTCATAGTGCTAATGTTCTACCGCTGTGTGCAGAATAGAAAGGTAAATCTGATTCTTTTCAACATAATGAGACCCATATGCTTGTCCTCTTGTTCTCAGATGCCAGCTCCGAGTACCTCAGTACAGTCGAACTGACCGACTCTGAGGATGCAGGAAGGAATGGGTCCATCGTAGGCCAGGAGCAGTCTGGTCCGCAGGTGGCTGTGATGGGAGGCTCATACGCTGGACTGTCTCCGATGATCATCATGAACAACTTTGTCTTAAAGCAGGTAAAATACAGCAATATGTGTCTCCATCTGAATAGCACAGTTTATTTTATTACTGTCTTTGAGCAATAGCACAAAATGGAGCAATAGTTTTGATACCAAAATCTGATTCCTGATGGGTGTTTTGAACTTGCTAGTAACTAGCAAGTACTGGCTAGTAATCCTGAATCTTTAACTTCATTCATCAGTGCTCTGGTAGCTCAAGGTCGTCCTATAAAGTTTTATTTAACTTTTTCTTAATTTATGAGTGGTTGACTTGCAGTTATAGATTAGTTAAGTGAGTGAAATGCCTACATTTTTTCTGTGTGTGTGTGTAATCCCCTACTCTCATTTGGTCACAATTCTGATTAAACTAGTCCAGGAGATTTATTGTCAGTTATATAGCTGACAATATACAGTTCTTTTTAATGGGGAATAAAACAGCAACACGTACTATATTTTTTCTTCAGCCATCCTCCATGGCCCCAGCCGAGAAGCAGTGGGGCTTTCCTTCACCCTTGGATGTGATGCCTCAATCACAGTTGGTTCTTCTTCAGCCAATGGTATCCAACGGCAACAGCAGCTCTCCTCCTAAGGCGAGTGCTGAAAATACCCGACAATCAAAAAACTACATGCCCATCCTCAAGTCGTATCCCAGAATCGCCCCACACCCTGTGGACACACCCACCAAGAGGGTGGGATCCTCCAGGGTGAGAGGGAGTGCAACGTCAGGATATGACCAGCGACAGAGAAGGCACCATCATGGCCACAGGCCCTACAGCTCCCCCAGCCCACTGCCAGCGCTGCAGACAACAGCTCAACCCATCTCCAACTTTGAAGCAGCAACCAACCAAGCACAGGCAGCTGAGAGTCAGGAGCAGCTCGCTGACAAGTCTCTGTCTGCACTGGTAGGAAGCAGCTCTCTGCTCTCCTTCTCAGATGAATTCAGGACTGTAACAGACAGCAACGAGATGCCTGCTGACAAATACCAGGACGTCGTCTCGATGCACAGCAACAAACTGAAACGTTTCAGCAACACCTACAACATTCTCAACAAGTCTGGTTTGCTGGGGATTACCATGCGCACGAAGCAGCTGATCAAGGAGAATAAGCGTACCCAGGGCCAGCTGCAGCAGCTTCAGGAGCAAACGGCTCTGCTGCTGGAGGCTCTGAGCAGTGGAGACCCGCAGCTCTGGACTAAACTCCAGCTCTCTCTGCAGGACACAGAGAAGGAACAGTGGGGGGCTAATGCTCAGAGAGTCCTGGCATAATTTGTGGACATGACCAGCAGTTCTGAATCTGGGTGCTGGAGGATCAGCCTCGAGGTTTCAAGGTGATGTAATGAATGTGATAAATCAACAAAACGAAACTAAATCATGAGCTTTTACACTTTGATCAGGGTGTATTAGTAATGAGTACTTTTCTACAGGCAAGTGAGGAAGCCAGAAACCTTTAGAACTGCTGGTTTAAGATGAAGCTGAAGCACATCCACCGTTAGGAAGTGGAGGTTAAGAAGCATGCTTGTATTTCAAACCCTTGCCTATAATGAATTTTCTTGCCTCTGCTGTTTCAAAAATAGCAAGTATCACTTGCAATAGGGCTATGGCTTCTATACATCCAACTCCTAATCGACATTTACGCATGCCTTACAGCACACGTGAAGACACACATGGGATTAAATCCTCAGCCATGGTATGGCTGTAGAGAAAATACAAGCATAATTTGTACCTTTTTAGATCAAATAGAAAACCTGATTGGTACACGTCCATCATGCATCTTTAATCAACAGGTCAGTGTCTCGTCAGGTTTTTCTATATTCTTTGTTTCTGAATTGGAGCAGATGCCTTTTTTGTTAAGTGTGTTTACTGAAGGAAGGCTCGCTAAAGCATAACATAGATTTTATTTTTTCTAAATGTAATTTTATTATTAAGTGTCAGTATTATTTATTTGTAATAATGTTTCTGACCAAGATTAAAGCTGTGTGAATAATGTAAACAAAGCAAGTTTATTATTTTAAGGGTTTTGCCAGTTCAGTGAGCTTCTTCTTTGGAAAGACGCCTGTGGGGAACTACGTAAGAATTTAGCGAAAGCTTAAATTGTAGCAAGTGAAGTGCTGTAGCCATATATCTGTCATGCCTTCGGTTGGGATCTGTTGCAGCCATGTTCATTCCTCCTGTAGTTTTACGCTTAGTATGACGTAGTATCGACGGAAAGTTTTAGACAAAGAAATAACACCTAAATGTTTTGGATTAGTTTCATATTACAGATTGTTGCACTTTAGACACAAGATTACTGACTTCAAGATGAGCGTCATGACTTGATGAGATAATGTGAATATAAGCGTTTATCTGGATGCCTGTGCCTTTTAAGTATGTTTGTACTTCATATCAGTGCTTGAGCAGCTTCTGTGTTTCTTTTTGAGCGTCTTGTGGAAGAAAGCTGAATGTACCTAAAGGTCTCCAAAGAATGAATATCCTTATTTGATATGATACAACAAACCATTGCTCTGCTGATGAAGAGCTGGGGGGTCGACTGATGTGTTGTTTTCAGAGCCAATGTTGTTACTGATTATTAGTAATCAATAATACAAACTGCAACACAAAACTTGCCTTTTGTTTAAAAGACAACTTAGCATTTATCCTTGTGTTTTGATTGGCTATTACTACCAATGTGTAACCAATGGGATAGTGCTGTGTGTGGGACATCACTCGAGAATTAATCATAACTACAAACTGCACCTACTTTGCATTAAAACCAACATTTTTAAATCGGTTTCTTTTTGTTGGATCTGTTGCACGACGATGCTGATAGTCAGACAAATACTTGGATCTGGGAACCAATGAGTCGACCCCTTTGATAAGCAATTTAAGTCTTAAATGGTTAAGTTTTATATGAAAAGTTCTTGTTTTTATTTATTTTAGCAACACAAAACGACTGTTGCAGCACTTTGCAATCATTAGTCATTGAGAACCAAGACGTGTTTTGATTTAATCGGAGCTAAAGGAGGGTGGTGAGAACGACACATTTCAGATGTTTTTGTTTTGCTGTCATTGTAACGTGTGCTTTCTGTACCTTTTTCTTCACTCACTAAACCGTTATAAACCTTTGCAGACCATTTCCTCTCGCTCATCTGTTGCACTTTTCTAGCTCAGAATGTGTCCTTATTAAAGACAACAAAAAAAACTGAAGTGCTCGGTGTGGTTTGAATACTTTTATTGGTATAACAGGAATAGACAAAATATCTCTAAAAAGTATATTTATTGAAACCCTCTTTTAAATGAATTCCAGTATGTCTGTAGCTGTAGCCGCAGCATAACAGTGAAAAGTCCTTACTAATATAATGCAGAGTGGCCTATCGTCAGCGATGTAGTGAAAACCTCCTCTTTGGGGTCATCTATAAGCATGTAAGACTTCATGGCACATTGTGAATAATACCCTGGATAACAATAATCATCTCCACATCCCCCCCTCCCCCACCCATCCTCATAACGGTTCCTGTATCTCCGTCACACTGTCTGAGTCACATTAGTCGGGGTAGAAAGCATCAGGCTCTACGTCGGAACAGCTAACTGTCAAAACAATGTTGTCGAAACCGGCAGTTTTTATGCTGAAGACAAACTCTTGTTTCCTCGTCTGATAGCCCTTTAGTGTCAAAGTGAGAACCACCATAGGTTTCCTGAATGTCACGCCGGAGCGTCCTCTGCGGAAGTGTGGAAGAACAATGCACTTTGATAATCTGGGAGCACCGCGGCGTGGCACAGGCTGTCAAATAAAGCTGTGAAGCCATGCAAAGCCGTCTTGAAGCGAGCGTTTTAGTAAAACTGTCCAAAATGACCCAACTTATTTGTCTTAATATTGCCTTTTTAAAAAGCTACTTAAAGAACACACTTAGACTACGCACTTGTTTCACGTTGCTTGTAGCTATGGCTCCTGTCCTTATTGGAATGTGTGCTAACTGGCAGCTAATTCATGGACTACTTTAAACATCCTAAAGCGTCCATTTATATCTAAAAAAATCAATCACCACGTGGATCCCAGGAAAGCATTTTCTACAACATGTGCTGCTTGTTTGACCTATGGGGAGCTATTACTATCATTATTATTCTTATTATTATCATCACTCAGTCCTGTTTAAGTGCCTCTGTGTCATCAGAGCACGTCTCCACTGTCTGCACAGGCAGGATAAGGCCAAGGATCCAGCGGGTACCGAAAACATCCTTTAGGTTTTCTCTCCATGGGCTGTGGTTGTCCTGAAGCTGCCCCCTCTGCAGCTGACACCAGGTCTGTCCTCTGCCCACCAGCAGCACCTGCTGGCAGCAGAAACCTGCGCAGACCAGACCGATGCCCAGCCACACGTACAGCATCAGCACCAGGAACAGCTGCAAGCCTGAGATGGTTCCTGTGAGGAAACATTGAGAAGGAATTAACGCTGAAGCATGCCGGCAAACATGCTGAAGTGTGACCTCCAGTCGGAAAACTCACCCATGAAGAAGTAAGCGGTGGAGAGAGGGAGCAGGGTCAAGAAGGTCAGCGGGTTCTCGAAGGAGATGGAGTACTCCACCGTCAGGAAGGCCACACCGAGAACCAGAGAGTACAAACAGGTGCAGGACGTGTAGATGCAGAACATGATGAAGTAGCGCATGTTCTTGTTGCCGATGCAGTTCCCAGTGAAGAAACAGTGGTGATCCCTCTTGAGAATGACTTTCTTGCACAGTTTGCAGAAGTGACGGCCGTTTAGGAGGTAGTGCGCGTCCACTTTGTCCGAGCAGTGCGGCGAGCACACCGGGACCGCCGTCTCGTTGGCACTTTCAGCGGGATATTTAATAGTCATTATGTAATTCCCCAAAGCGTTGAACATCAAGAAGAGGAACACGGCGGTGTGAAGCGTCGTGGAGCCCCTCAGCGACGTGTCTGGGTTCGGGAAGATGGTTGGGATGAAGAAGCCAAAGTGCAGAATGAAGGTGACTGCTGTGGCCATGAAGAAGTATGCAGGCGCGACGGCATTGAGAAGTCTCAGCTTTAACATCCGGGTGAACATGTCTGAGAGAGTGAAGAACACACACAGTTAGCAGCAGGGGTGGAGAGGAGATCGACTCAACTACACAACATACATGCACAACATAATGTTATCTGATGATTGTTAAAGTAACATCCAAACACTGTGTATCCAGTAAAGCACATCAGGAATCATAATCCAATAATTGAATATAGATTATGGACACATTCTACATTTTTATTGCTATTTTTTGTACATTTTGTCTGATAATACTTTTGTCTTTCTACTTGAGCTAAAATAAGAATTCAGGACTTTTATTAGTAGAGAAATATTCTACATTTTTCCTATATAAAGGCATGTTATTATAAGATATTTAACCAAGACTAGAAGCTTTAACACTGGCAGATTGGAGGCAGTGACCCTTCCAAGGGTATGATTTTGGTTTAGGGCATTTTACATGAAGCATCTGGGTGAAATTATAAAAAGAAAAGGGAAAAAAAGAGAGAGAAAGTAAGTCTGCTGCTGAGAAAAACTAATTTCTGAGCAAAGTAGGGTCTGGGGACTCTCAGGGGCCATTGAGAATACCAAGAATATCTTATCCTCCTCTCTGTGATCTGCTAACCTACACCACTAACAAGATATGCAAATCACAGTGTATCACACCACAAAAAGAAGCCACAGGCTAAACCTAAAACTGGGTCTTTGTGCCCCCCTCTTATTATTTTATTTCATTTTATTTTATTTATAGGGCATCGACACACAAACACCGGGAGTCCCTGCTGAAGGCCAACGCGTGCCTGAGATGACAGAAAGCGTCTACGATACTATCACGGTCGCCCCTCCGTCCTGTTTTTTTTTTTTTTTCCGTTTTCTTAGAGATTATAAAGGTGCCGGTTGATGGCGTCGATCGCTTTATTTCCATCATTTTATCTCCATGGCGACGCCGCATCCTCCTACCTGCTGATGTGAGAGGAGCTGTCCTTTCAGCACCACCGGAGCTCAGCCAGCCTCCTTCAAACGCAGACCAGAAGGGGTCTCTGAGCCACATTGACGCCTCTTTCATCACTGGGGTGTCCGCTCCTCTGTGTAGCACCGCCTGCTGGTCCGGATGCGCCGGTTTTCCTCCTGTTTTTTTTATTTTCTCTGCCTTTTAATTCTCTGATTTCACCAACCTGTTCAGACAAACCACATCTATATAGACTGATATTAGAATAACAGCAAAAATGTAATCAGGATGAGTTACGTAGTTATAGCAACTGCAAAAACGGCCATTTTAAAGTAAAATTGATTCATATATCTCACTTGGGGTATTTAATTAGATATATTAATTATACAGTATGTTGCAGAAGTGACTATTTTGTCTACCAGGTTCTGCTCAAAAGGAATCCAAAGGAAATATAGAATTTGTTGGGTTTCTCAACAATGCAATTTTATAGAACTACATTTATGTGAAGCAGCTTGAGATGACATCTGTGATAAACTGGCGCTATATAAATGAAACCGACCTTAACTGAATTAACCTTTTATTTGTATTAAATGTTTTTACAGAGACGCTTTCAAGTTAAAGACCTGTGAGTTTTCTAAACCACTGTCAGCAATGACATTTCAGTGATGCAGAACCAAATAGGAGCTGTCCAAGAGCAAAGAAAGTGGTGGACACTTCAAAGTAGTTATGCATATTTTAATATTTTAATATTTTATGATATCTTTTCATGGGACAACACTGAAGAAATGACACTTTGCTACCATGTAAACTAATCAGTGTACAGCTTGTATAACAGTACGTATTTACGGTCCTCTCAAAATAACTCAGCACACGGCCATTAATGTCTAAACCGCTGGGAACTAAAGTAAGTACACCCCTAAGTGAAAATGTCCAAATTGGGCCCAATTAGCCATTTTCCCTCCCTGGTGTCATGTGACTCGTTAGTGTTACAAGGTCTCAGGTGTGACTGGGGAGCAGGTGTGTTAAAATTGGTGTCATCACTCTCACACTCTCTCATAATGATCACTGGAAGTTCAACATGGCACCTCATGGCCATTTATCACAGGTGTCATCTCAAGGCACTTCACATAAATGTAGTTAAATAAAGTTTGATTAAATTACATTGTTGAGAAATCCAACAAATTCTGTATTTTCTTTGGATTCCTTTTGAGCCGAACCTGGTAACAGTCGGAGACAGACAAAAAATAAATAAATACAGGACAGCACAGAACATCCATCCATCCATCATCTATACACCTTAATCCTCACTAGGGTCATGGGGGGCTGGAGTCTATCCCAGCTGACTCAGGGTGAAGGCAGGTTCACCTGGACAGGTAACCAGTCTATCACAGG